CATTTTTTAAGCCTTGTTTTTAACCAGCCCCGTTGCCATGGCAACAACACTCACCTTAGCCAAAATGTGAGAATAAACCCTTCTGTGGTTAACCTTGACTCTTGCAAAAAATGGGCGCCAAAGCATAAATAGCTTTAAAGTAATGGTGAATTAGGCAGAGGCTCTTGAAAACTGTGTTCGGCCACCTTAATAAATCACTGTCAAATCAAAACTAAAGTTATATGGCCTTATTTTTTGTTTAGTGACATTTCAAAATAATAATATTGGCTAGCTACCCGCAAGTTAAGCAAACATCCTATTTGCTTGTAATGTGATCAATTGGCTAAGAATTGAGCCAAAAGGTAGCCAAAGCATAGAAGGAAAGGGGAGTACAGTTAGGTTAGGTTTTACTTCAGCTAAAAAAAATTAATTTCTAATTACATCAGCAGTTGTAAGCAAAAAAACTATTTTGTCATCTAGGGGTTATTGTTCCAATGCTTAGCCCAATTTTAAGGAGTAAGGAGAATTCTGATTTTGATCTCCAGCTGGTTGAATGGGTTAACAGGTATCTCAAATATGTTTATTGGAGAAGACATAGTAAATTATACAATGTAAGATATTTAAAATGTGTTAATAAAGTTAATAAGTTTGCTTGTTTTGGTTTTAGTTCTTTTTGGAGTTTGAATTTAATGTCTTTTGATGTCAAAGAATTTTCAATTTCCAGTTACAGTTAATTAAGAAATAGAAAACATGCACCATGTTTCTATTGAGTTATAGAAACACGAGCGGAAGTTTGGGAGAACAAGAAATGCTGTGGGAACACGAGCCACAGGCGAGTGTTTCCACAGTTTTTTCGAGTTCTCCCAAACTTTCACGAGTGTTTACTATAACTCGATAGAAACACGGAGAACATGTTTTCTATTTCTTTTAGGAAACACCACGACGAAAAAAAGGAAAACAACTTGTTAACTTTGATTATCACAATGTAAATTCTCTTTGCTCGCACCATCATAACGTCAACAGCTCATGCTAGTTGTGTTTCTATCAAGTTATAGAAACATGATTTTTAACCAATCAGCGTACGTATTTTCTGAAGACCGTTTTCTAAACCTCTTTAATACAAAGACCAAAGGGCACATCTGATCGTCCTTGTTACTAGAGGTGACCATATTATAGTGGAACAGATTACAGTAGAACTTCTCTAAGCCACCTCTCTACAATGCAGCTATGCCACTTTTTTTGTCTCCGCAGACAGCTCCTACATTCACTCTTATCTTAACTGTTCTACAACAGCCAACTCTAAAGAGCTGCAACAAACAGTAATGTGTATCCAAACTGCCAAACTAAAATCTCAAAAATTGCCAGTTAATCAATGACTGACCAACAATGTATATAAATCTCCATATTTTTTTTACATAAAATGCACTGCGATTATCAGTTGAGTGAGGCAAGACAAAGATTTGGTGACCAGGATTCAACACGCAACTTGTGTTGTCACAGGCAACTGGCTCTGTTTCTAGTGGCAACTTGTCGGCCTTTGACATCATTGGCAGCAAAGTGCATGAAATTGCAGGCGATGATATTGTTACCATTGGAAATAAGGAAAGTTGCCGGTGGCAATACCGTAATTTTAAATCCAAAACTTCTTCACCAAAGTTTTGTTGTGCCTTACTCAACTGATAACCATAGTAACAAAACTGAACCCATACTGCATGTCATTGGTCTCTGTTTCTGAAAGGTTTCTGTATTATTGATATATTTTGATTGTGCATACAAAGAGCATTTCTTACAACTAAAAATGTTGCACCCCCACCAAAAAAAAAGGGTGTCATATTACACCTGCCGCCCCTTAACAACCTCCTCTCCACAATTGCCCCTCCACTGTGGAGAGGTTCGACTGTATACAAATTCTTGGTGTCAGTAAGGAGAGGTTTAACTGTACATTGTATTTATCAGTTTAGAGAGAGGTAGAATACAAAACTTAATAATAAGATCAGGCTTGGAGATTTCCATGCTGTTCAGTAATGCATCAAAACAACTGACAAACAACCTAAAGCATGTATTTTCATTTCATAGTTACAGTACTTATAATAACAAAATGTGTTTCATTTTTGCTAGGATTATTCTGTAATCACATTAGCAAGTTAAATCATTCTGGTAATGGTTTATTTAAGTTTTGTGACATTTTGAAGCATGCTCACTTGCCTTCACGATTTGCCATGACTGCAAATGTGCAATTTTGCATTTTGGGCCCAAACATTGTCAAATGTGGGACGTACAAACCATTTTTTTAAAGCGAATTTTTCTTTCAAGAACAGTACTGCAGTGGCTGGCCTCCATTATTACAACGTCCACTACATATAAAACTTCACCGACTGAGCTTTCCCTCGGGTGAAAAGAAAGGAACTGTCTTCAGGAGGTGATTGTAAGGCAGTCTAGGTTTATGTAGTTTAGCAAATCAACTGTGAATGGGGCATCGACATAACAAAACTTGTAATGTTCAAGACAGTCAGGTAAATTGTGGGTAACACTAGTTTTTAAGTAAAAGTATATACAACAATTTCTGTACGACATGAGAACATGCTGCACAAACTATGAGAGAAAGTGACAGGTACACATACAAACTTGTAATCACATTAAACTTATCGACGACGAAGATTCTGTTGTCTTGGTTGAGCAGGTGCAGTGACGACTACGGTTGAGTTGGAAATGACATCATAAATTGTGCGATTGTGTTGAAAAAAGAGGATTGTTAGAAACACTGGGAACAGCAATGTCATGGAGAAGTTCTTCACTAGGGCTCTTACAAATGATCTGGAAAATAAAATAAAAATTGATAATTAAGAAATGGAAAATATGTTCTCCGTGTTTCTATTGAGTTATAGAAACACAAGTGGAAGTTTGGGAGAACGAGAAAAGGAAAACAACTTGTTTACTTTGACCATCAAAATGTAAATTCTCTTTGCACACACCAGCATCACGTTAACAGCTTGTGCTAGTTCTGTGTTTCTGTCGAATTATAGAAACACAATTTTTAACCAATCAGCATGCATATTTTCTTAGGACTGTTTTCTAATTAACAATTAGACCCATAGCCCTTGCAGGCTACGGGTCANCTACTCGATGACTATTACTAATAGTCCCCTGGTAGCGTAGCCAATCAAAATGCAGGATTTGCATTAGTCCACTAGTTGGGTGATACTAATACTTATTAGCAAGTGTCCAAAACTCTGGATAAAAAAGGTGGGTATCATGATTATGTTGTGGTCACAGTCCTGGGCAAGACATTTAACCCTTGTATTGCCTCTCTCCTCTCTGTCCTAGATCAGTTTAACGTTAATCCAGGATTAAAAGTTAACCGAAGTATTAATTTTTCCTGTACAAAAGTGCTTTTCAATGCTTATTTTTAATCTAGTTTGAGATTATTTAAACTAAAAACTGAAGGGCAAACAATATAAACAGAGTACCTCAACGAAAAGTTACAAAACTGAAATAAAAATTCTCGCTAATCCTTGGTTAGCTTAGGCAGGCTTTGAACAACCCAGCCCAGAGGTACATACATGTAGTATACAAAAAGGTAAATGGACTGAAAAACGATGAGGCTGGTGGTGGCCTGTAATGGACTAGCATTCCATCAGTAAAAAATGACAAGATATGCATTTTACCTCCGGAATCCCAAGTTTCCTCCTGGTTCAATCCTGACTCTGTCGCCAGCTGGTAGATGTGCTACCAAACTGATGTGATCTGTAGCAACTATTGACAAACCCATGAGGTATTTGCCAGGTGTGGCACCTCCTACACTGCCGTGAAGGCCACCCATAAGGAAGAATACCTTGTAATAGCAAAAAAAAGTGATATCTCAAATAGCATTTTAAGTCACTGGAAGCCAATTGCTGTCCAAATAATAATAAATAGTACTTTTATAGCACCTATCCAAGCGTAATCTAGGGGCTTTACATGTCGTAAAAAATATAATAAATTAGAATAATGTTAAAATAATGTGGGAAATACAGTGAAGCTTGTATTAAGCGGATACCCTCAGGACCCTTGCTACAGTGCAGCTCAGATATATGTGAACTATGCATAGGTGTATTACACCAGTGTAGTGTAGTCTAATTTAGTAGTGTCTACTAAATTAGAGTTATCTGCTTGACACAAGTGCATTTTACAGAAAATATGAGAAGTCAAGAAAAGTTAAGGGCTTACTGAGACCACTGTCCACTGAATGCAGGGTTTCTATTATGCAGTTCGCTCAATACAGTTTTCACTGTAGTTTCTCAGAGAAATGGTTACCAGAGGAAAACAAATTGCTGTGTAATAACTGTTATGGGTGAAGTACTTAAGAAGTGAAATAACATGGCTTTAGTTACCTACACGAGGCAGACACCCATTGATGTATTGTACATACTTGTAGCAACATTGTTGTGCCAGTGAAAAACATCTATTTTTGTCTGATTCTTATGAAAAAGTTATCAAAATCAGCCCCTACAACAAGAACATAAACCCTTACAACCTGCACTTCAAAACTTTGTGGCAACTAAGACTGAAATATAGCAAGATTAATTTCATTGAATCTTAAAGAAAATTACTAGATTTAAAATTTATAAATATTTACCTCATATGCAAACACTATCAGTCTGTACACTAAAGCTTGCATAAGCAGCTCCTCAATATCGTTTAGACTTGCATTTTCATCTGTTATTAAGGTGTACTGCAACTGGCTGTACCGCTCCAAATCATCACTAGAAAACAAGCACTTTTAGTGGAAAATTGGATATCAGAATGCATTGTTCTAGAAAATATCCTTACCCCTGACACAGACATTTTTTCATTATGTGGAAATTTTGGTACAGGTGTAGCTTCATACTTCATGGCTTTTGGGGCAGCCCCAAGTTGAGTTCATTTTCACCACATACCAGTCAAACCGCTATTAGTAGCCACCTATTAAACAGCCACCCCTATTAGGCAGCCAGTAATCAAAGTCCTGATGAGGGTTTTTCTATTGTTTTTACCTAGATATTAACCAGCTAAGTTCCTTTTCAGTGGCCACTATCCATTTCCCCGAGGGTGACCATTTAATGGGAGTTAAACTGTAAGTGTACAGGATAGAGCCAGTATGAAATAAAGTGTGTACAGAACTTTATTTTCCAAAGCCATGGAGTTAAACAATACTGTGGCAGGACTTTCACAAATTTGTATAATTTTATTTTGAATCAAGCAAAACAGAACTTCTCATAGACCCAAGCACAAGCACAGGGACAAGGCACAAATTATTTTTTCAGTACAAACAGGTACATTGGTGTACACTTACTACATAATTGAGAACACAAGGACCTTGGTAAAGTAAAGGAAAATAAAGTCCAGAATTTCTGCATAGATTCTCTTAGAGATGGGTGCAATCTGTACTTCACAAACTGTAGGCAAACAAAAGAACCATAAATCAGTTAATTTTACATCCTCTTTTCAAGACAACAGGAGGATAATGCTTTCCACCAGATACACATGTAAATCCCTACCCTCCTCAAGTCTACACAGCTCGATGGCTGGAGCACCTGGTCGGTTTCTGGTAGGTCATGGGACAGTTGGGGCTTAATTTCATGGGACTCAGAATTTTTCTTTGTCCCATGCTAACAACATCAATTAATTTGACTTGTACATAGTTCTTATTCTTCTGTTAATATCTTTCGTGTTTGTAAAATTTCATGGGACTCAGAATTTTTCTTTGTCCCATGCTAACAACATCAATTAATTTGACTCGTACATAGTTGTTATTCTTCTGTTAATATCTTTAGTGTTTGTAAAACTTTAAATTTTGTGTATAGTAGGTCCAAATCAACCCTTCGGCTGCCAACCCCGTCTCAACCTACCTATCAAATGAAGGTCACCTTTACCTTACCTTAACTTCTAACCGTTTTGCTCTCTTTTAATTATTCAGTTTTGCTCTAAACAAAAGTAGTTATGTTTATGCTCACATCTGAAGCATCAGTGATATGACTATCTTTACATTTGACATGGTTATGGTTATAGTTAGAAGGATCCACTCCTACACAGTAAACATTTTTAATATTCAAAAGTCCAGTGGAGGATTCCATATGAAAAGGTCAGGAAGCCCTGGATGCTCTTTGCCTTGCTCAGGGGTATAAATCAAGGATTCTGGTCTCACTTTAGGTGTTTACAACCAAATGCCACTATATTTAGCTATCAAAAAATCTTTCAGGGTGCACTCAAAGAAACAATAATTTCTAAAACACTCTTATTTCCAGTTTTGGCTCAATTCCTGTGGTCTCTCAAGTCTGGTCTACTAGTGCGGGCTCCTTTCCTGATCAGCAACTGGTAATCATGTCTATTCCATTTTAAGTGGTATCTTTTAGGGGTCAAATAAAGCTCGAGCCACGCTGAGATTGGTCTTTACGGGTTTAATTCAAATGTTCCAATGATCATCCCTGACCTTTTCATATGGGAGTCCCCCCTGGGCTCAAAAGTAGCGACACCCCCTGTCTGCTGAAAATAGCAACCCTGCAAGAGCAGTGAGAGGAAGAGGTTCATGTGCGCAGATCACAAGTTTTGGTAAAAATTATCGAAAGGTTCTTTAAGTCTGAGGTTCCAGTTTAGACTAACTTTCAAATTCTCACAAACTCTCTTGCTGACAGCTATGTGAACACACAAGCGCCATTGGCTATTTAATCATTAACTATACAGAAGTGTATAAGTATGACAATAATTGCTTGTAAATGTATGTGTAAGTTACAGCGGATTTAACAACAAACCTGTTCTAACTGCCCGCTGTCCTTGGAAAACCCACGGAGCCGCTCGACCAGGCGCCAAACCGGCATTGTTTTGAGGTTGTTGTCCTCTAAGAGAGCTCTGCGATTCCTGCTGGTGTAAACCCGACTGTGGAAAGTTGCTTTGAGATTGAAATGCTCCCTGGTACATGGAGTTTGATGCCATCGTTTGCCAGTAGTACATATACGAAAAAAACTGATAATAATATTGTTGATAATACTGAGCCGACATCCAGTACATAAGCACGTTCCACGGCTCCTGTGAGCGCGAATAAAGCGCATTTTGTTGATTCATCGAGGGACTAGTCGACATATTTTCAGACTTTTTATCTTCCGATGCGATACTTTGAGACAAACCTTGGTTAATATCCTCTCTTTTCGAGGACTCACCCCTTCGAGCGTCCGCCATATTTCATGCATTTGATGTATACGGGGGAGACTGGGTTGGACTAATATATTTGAGCCAGCATTACTTACAGACAGCAGACATCTTTTTTTCGCAGCTCTTCGTCGCTCTTCGTAAAGTAAGCCCGATGATTTTCCGACTTCTAGTGCACCAATGGTAGCAGTCCCCCGAGTACCAGTGGACTTCTGTCTAGTCGTCGAATTCCATCGTGCTATGAAAGTGTAACTGCATTTTAACCTTTCAGGTTGAACAGAGGTTGACTCGAAACAATTAGAACTGATCGTGCGTAGCCTACAGCTATGAAAAAAAGATTTTGAAAAGCGCTTGAAAGCATGAAAACGAACAATAGGAAGTGAGAAAAGAGAGACTGCTTTGTTGTCAAAAGAGAACTCTTAAATCAAACCGCTTATTTTCCACGATGGTATATAATCAAATAACAAAAAAACGTTAAAAATGCCTTTGCGCTTCACTGTTTCAACTCCACGGTTTAATATGCACTTTTTATTTAATTCTTGCTTTAGTGTTTTACCAAAATTTACACAAATCTAATGGCTGTCTTAGCAAATAGTGGATATATATTTAAATAGTGGACGGAAATAGCGCAGTTTTTAACATCCGTTCCCTAAATTATGAAATGGTTGAATAAATTGAAATCAATTAAACTTCGTTATCTTCCTGGTTTCATGTTTTACAACTGAATTTTATCAAAATTCGTCTACTTGGGGTCAAATAGCCTTAGCCAGGAGTCAACTGTGAATGTTGCTGAAATCTAAGCGATCGAAGCTTGATAAATACTGATTAAAGTGATTATCTTATAAATAGGAAAGGTTAAATGAATAACAACCCCACCGTTACCATTCCACTTCGGTCTGGGTAGAAACAGATTAGACCTGTTTGTGGCTTCCCCTATAACTGAGGATGTCAAAAACAGTGAGAATCTGTGAGACGCTAACAGTCCAGTTATTCTTATTAACTAATAATAAAATTTCTGAATTGATCAGTCTCAAAGTTCTCTGTGACGCACGTTCTTGCCTTTTTACACTGCAGCCTGGGTTGCCTGGATGAACTTTTATTCATATAACTAAGTTCTGGAGATTATAAAAATTGTATTGGCTTATCCTTAATTACAATTGGTGGGTACACGGTTAAGTGTCGTGTTCGGAAAATCTACGTAAAATGAATGGAGTGCTTCCGACTCTGATTAGCCAATCAAAACGAGGCACGAGTAACCACGACTATCCCGAAGGTTGTGCGCCTAAAGTGGCGACAACGAGTTGCGCATTCTTAGCAACTTGTCTCCTCTTCAAGGTCAGAAAATATTGGAAATGAGACCTCAACCGAGAAACGACACTCGCTGGTTCCCCACATTCTAATAGTTTCTAGTTTGGGTCTACAATGTTAACAAAAAGAACAACGATAAAAAATTGGGATTAAGACGCGTTATATTAGCATAATGGCATATGTACCAAACTAAAATCCTACAATTACTAGTCTACATCCACTGCTTCAACAGCTTATCCATTTTAGAGTTCAACTGAAAGCTAACAATGACTAAACAGTATTCTTAAATGTCGCCATCCACACTCAGCTCATTGAGGCTGCTGGGACGTGTGTTAGGTCATTCTAAAAAGCGCTTGTGAAAGTCTCGTTGTCTTGGTTAACTTCCGGTTCCGGTGCCGGTTCTTTGCCGAGGTGGCTGTAGGAATCGTTTTGTTCCATTTCCGATCCCTGTGTAGACTCGGTGTCTCGGCTGATGGAGTCAACTTGGTCAATTTCCGGTTCCGGTGTAGGTTCTTTGCTCTGGTGGGTGTTGGAGTCATTTTGGTCCATTTCTGATCCTTGCGTAGACTCAGTGTTTTCGCTAATGAAGTCATATTGGTCAACTTCCGGTTCCGGCGAAGCCTCTTGGCCTTGGCTATGGGAGTCATCTTGGTCCATATCCGGTTCCGGTGTAGACTCAATGTCTTGGCTGATGTCGTCATTTCCGTCTGGAAAGATGGCATCCTGGTCTTCTGTCGATGGCTGAGACCAACTGGGATTGGAAGAAAACAAAAAGACATAAGTTGAGCTCGCTGGAAAAGACGTAGGCAACAAAACCTGATACACCTACAATGCAAAGATATTTCTCGTCGACTTTCATTTAGTTTGTCTAGTTTGGGTGAGGGTAGTTATGAAAAGAACTCTGCCCTGTTTGCGAATCTAATCAAATTGAAGATGAATCTCACTTTCTTATGTATTGCAATAGATACTCTATTCTAAGAGATGAATTTAATTTGAACAAAAATAGCAAATATCGTTCCGACTTTTAAAAATTAATCTCCATTGCAAGCCATCGGGGATCAGCCATCGAACTTATGACTTCTGCAAATCATTATATTAATATTTAATTGGCAAAATTTATCTCATCTTGCTTTAATCTACGCAATATTCTTCTTTCAAATCAAACCAATGTAGCTTGATTGCTATATCATAACCTTGTTATATAATCATTACTGTTTTAGTTTTGGTTTGCAAAAGCTTTTGCGACACAGTGCGTATTTATGGTCGTGCAAATGAAGCTAGTTGTCGTTGTTGTTGTTGTGGCTGTTGTTGTTATTGTTGTTGTACTCACAGAGATTCGTCTAGCGGCTCGCCAAACAGCTCATAGAGCTCAGCCTCATCCATCTCCAGAGTTGATAAATCCGTTTGTACTTCTTGATCACACATCTCAACCGGGGGGACTTCTTCTTCTTCCTCCTCGTCTTCCTCGACTTGACCGTTCAATTTGGCGCCTTGTGCGAAGACTTCTCCTTCCTCCAAAGCGGCATTGTCAACTTGTGTTTGTTCTCCTTCATGTTCTTCAGGAATGACATCAATAGCCAAGTGGTCTTTTGTCGTAGGGTGAACGGCGCAGGTCTTCTCATCCTTTAAATGACTGGTAAACCTCCTGTTTGCTTTAGCAGCAAGATAACTGACACGGAATACATCTGCCTCGCTGTCCAATTCCGAAGGGTGAACAACGAACGCTTCGTTCTCTTTCGCTGCTGGGTGCATAGCCAGCATCGTATCCTTGTTTTCCGCAGGGCGAATAGCGAAAGCCTCGTCTTCTTTCGAATCAGGGTGAATGGCGCATGCCTCGTTCTCTTTGGCTGAAGGGTGATTTTCGAGCCTTTCGATAGAGAGCGAGAACATTTCCATTTGGCCATCTTCATTAGCCATCTGCTCCCCATCATCCACAAGCCCCCCATTGTCATCTTCTCGCAAATCGTTCACTGGTAGAAGCAGGTTCTGACAACAAGCGAAAGACCAGTGTGGATTTTTTATCCATTTCTTGAGGAAGCGAAGCAGGTATGATATGTACTCCACTGAAAACAAAACGCATAAGATATTCAATGGATGGATTTCAATGTTAAGCGCAATTTTTCTTCCTATTCCTCCAAGTTGGCGTGAGTTTTTCATTAAACCCGAGTAAATGGATAACAAGGGGTTTCTTAACAAGCAAAAAAATTCAAAAAGATCACGATAACTGGTTCGTCGTCACATTTTGAAATCAAGACCTCGGCTAGCCTGAAATGTCAGTCATCTCCCGCCCTCAGCCTATTCCCCGGGCGAATAGCTAACGCTCGGCACTGGGCTGAAGGCGGGAGATGACCGACGTTTCAGGCTGCAATCTTACCAACAAGTTGGCCGATCACCAGAGTGTTTGCTCCAAGCACCGTTATCTTAAAGATGGCTGTGTCCATCAATGGGTCCTTTGACGGCTCTCGGTTCTCTGCAGGGATTCTACTCACAGTACCAATACCCAGGTTGACAAAAGTGACTGCAAGGGATGTCACCATCATCTTGTTCTCAAACGCATCTTGGATGGGAACCCTGAAGGCGAAGAGCATGCCGTACAGCCCAGCCAGGACACATGTAGCGCCCACATAAGCCCTGCTCTCCTGTCCAATTAGGATCAAGCCTGATGTAAGGGTGATCTTACGAGCCATTTCAATCAATTCCCAGTACCACGACTTGGTGCTGTAGTTCTCGTAAATAAAGCTCAGCCCGGTGACAAGTTCTTTGTAGGAGCTCGGTTTCAAATTCTTCAATGAGAAGTCTTCGCATGTTGGCAACGTTGGATCTTCCTTGGAGGCGAGGATCATTCTTCGCTCTCTCCAGAGCACTGTGATTGAGAACGCTGGAAGGGCAATGATGTAAATAATGTTCAAATAAGCCCCAATCAGCAGCAGGTGATAGCGTGACCCGTGACACCGTATGCCGTAATCAGCTTTCAGGTAGTTGTCACACAAGGATTCTCCTTTGTCACGACAAAGTCGTCGACAGGCCAGTGGCAGGACATTGGCTGTTTTGGAACAAGTGCTCAGGTATGTCACAAACAAAAAGAAGAATAAATTCTTGTAGATCAGCTCTTTTGTGTGCGAGATCCGGTTGGATTTTTCCTCCTCAGTTAGGCTTCCACTCGCCGAGATCATCACATAGCGCACTCCAAAAATAAAGGCAAAGAACATGATTGCAAAAGCATTTAAGCCCATGCTGGCAAACAAGCTTCCGAATGCGTCCACGTGGAGGCTGGAGAACAAGCAGTGAAGTGGTGCAACCTGAAGAATGTTCAACTGGAGTAGTTCTGAATATCGCGAGATATCCTCCAGGACATCAGGCCATTTAACGAATGCGAACGCTTCCAACAGACCATAAGTGACCTGGTAGAACCCAATGATAATCTTAAGCCTGGCAAAGATGACATCTATCAAAGCGCGTCCTTGGGCCTTCTTCGTCTTCTTCCGGCTGTACCAAATCATAATGGCAATGATCACGAACACAAACCCAAAGAAGATTCCAAACTGTATTGCCATCCATCTCTTGGTCGGGCATTTGGTGCACGCTTGGAGCTGTTTGTAGTAACCAAACTGGCACATTCCGCACACAGGACCTTCGTAGCCTGGCTTACATGGGTTTTCAAGGGAGGCGACACCCCCCTGGCAAGACTCTTCTCTTGGGCATTTGGTGGCTTTTGGCATTTCGTATGTGAAGTCCCTGAAAGTGTTGTCAAAGGACGCTACAGGCTTCAGAAGATTGTGGGTAAAATTCTTGTAGCGTTCTTTGTGTGTCTCGTTTTGCCATTCCCACCAGTAGCCGGGTTTTAAATCCAAAAAGTCAGTTTTAGTACAGTCGAGCCCTTCATGCACGCCGCCACGTTCGCATTCCTCGCATTTGCCAAAGATGTGAGTGCGATGAAATCCTTCCAAGCAGGTACAAGCAATGAGTCCAGCTTGTTGATTGGTATTCGTTCCTGTAGTAAATTGACACAGTCAAGGTAAGCTAATGTAAGGGTAAAATCTTTATACAAGCTAAGAGGCCCATCAGGCCGGTGCTTATCTCAGTTTAAATAGCATATAGCGACCAGGAGTATTTCTACTCCGCCGTGGATGGGAGACTAGTCCATCGCAGGGTTACCCTAAAAGTCAAACGATTTACTTATTATATAATAGGTAAAATGACGGGTTCTTATGATCAATTGGAAGACAGGCGTATAGATTACGTCATTTACGTAATAAGGTTTATAAAAGAGATAGATTCGATGTTTCCCTGCGCCTGCTTAATAGATAATATTGAAGAGGTTTTTATACTATCGACATAATACGAACTCCTCGAATGCAAATCTAAAAGATATTTTGATGGATGAAAACATTGGTGTTCAGCTCTGAACAACTGAGCTGATAACAAAATCCTATTTTAACACCCAATAGCAATACAGTCTGGTACATTTACCTCGAGGACAAGCCCTGCAGTGTTTGTACCTCGTTCCTGGATAGATGTCTAATTTCACAAAAGCACCCAGTGGACATGGTAGACATTCCTGAGCAACATAGGCTGCGCTGTCAGAAAGAAAACCTCCTGCAAAGAAATTCCGCACAAATAATTTAATTCGACGTGACACACACCGACATCTCATCAACTGCAACTATGAAGTTTGAGGGGCATTTACCAGGCTCGCACTGCTGTTACATTGCGGTCACACTCGGTCGCAATGCGGTCGCACTGTGGTCGCAATCCGGTCGCAAAGCGGTCGCAATGGGGTCGTTCTGCGATCACACCGCGGTCACACAGCGTTCACACTGCGGTCACACTGCGATCACACTTCGATTGCGCTATGGTAAAACAGCGGGCAAACGCACTCCGCGCGTAATTAGCACTCGCTGCCAAAATTCCCGCTGAAATGTATAGTCTGTCAATCTTGCACTTTCCAGCCAAAACCTAAGGCACACAGTAAAATATTAAGCCTTTTAAGCCGAAGCATGCACGGAGAATTTAGTTGCTATTCACAAGCTTGACTGCTTTGTATTTTAATTCACCACCGTATGTTTTATAGCGTTTCCTTGCAGACTCCTTCCACATGGTCTGAAAGTTCGTAGAAGCGCTTAAAAGTAGACGATCCCACAAAAATTATTATGCCAGCATGAAAACGTGTGGGTACGCCTGACAAATGCCGTGTATGCGCAATTCAATACTCGGGGACACGATTCTGCCTTCAAGTGGCACTAGTCTACTGTATTGATGCCTACAGTGCTACGTAATAAAAGTTAAGGGAGCAAATTGTTGTGGAGCGTTTTCACCCACGTGTCCATCAGCCATGTAAATTATTGGAACAAAATCAAATGTTCACATAAGAAAAGAGTTCAATTTCTACAGGATTGGTTTGGGACATCAACATGGCCGTCATTTCATTGTTTTAGGACACTAATACGCATATATGGCTGGCGTGACGCCATGTGAAAACACTCTAATAAACGCGACTCCAACTTTCAGCCGGGTCCAATGTAAATAAGAGCATATATGTACCTAGCCGAAGTACAGGTGGTTTTATTTGGTGGCGAGTTCGCAAAACGTGGAGAGTTGGGACGAGGGAGAAAAAAGCGGGTCGCAAATTTTTCCCTCGCCCCAGACCTCCACATGCTATGCAATCCAAGATGGCGGCCTATATACTCCATAAGGGAATGCATGCTCTCCCAAAATACGCCTACCGTGCAAGCCATAAAGTTACCTGGAGGACATTTTTGGCATCCTCGACTTCCAAGTGAATACGTTCCTTCTGGACATGGCGATAACCTATAATGATGCGTGAGATTCTCCTCATCATATCTGTGCGAAGCCTGTTCGAATCCTAGTTCAAGGAAGGCAGTGACCATGCTTAATCTTGCTTTTTCGTAAATCTTTGCGGAGACACTGATTTCTTTTGTGGTGGAAGCGTTCGGATTCCTGGAATGAACAGATTTCATCAGTTAACAATTTCTTCCTTACGCAATGATTGGGAACTCCTAACTATGTTCAACAGACATTATGAGAATTTTAAATCCGTTAGCCATTGATTGCTACTGCTCACAACCCAAATACTCTGCGACTACGAATAGTCTCTAACTTTTGCGAAGTCAGTCGAGCAGGCAAGCACACGAGCGCGCGCGAAATTCATCTTGCACGCGTCGCGTCTCTTACTGCGAGGCGATTCTTGCGCGCGTTGGTATGTTGATCAACAAGACTGATCTTAAGAGAACTGTTTTAAAAGCAATTGCTTATCCTCCACCCCACCCCACCCCACCCCATACCCCCTTTTGTTGTCGTAAAATTGATTTCTACCCCTTTCACTCCAGCTCAGGCCAATTAAATCGGGGTTAGCTTCTAGTTTCTTCGTAAAATTTCAACACACTTCACAAGTAATACACTGCAAGTAATGGAAAAACTAACTGATTCACAGATTGGAAAAAGATTCACAAGTAAATCCTCCCAGTTGGATTAAAGCAAAATTTATAGAGACCTGTAGGAAGGATTTTTCTACTGACAGATATATTTTACAGAGATCTCGGCCGCTGGCAGTGTAGTATCGCAGGTAGCCAATGAGTTCATCGTTCATGACCCTGAAAAAGAAAACAAATTCCAAAGCAAGCTTGTAAGCATTGCGTCGTCACTAATCATAGAACTATCCTGACTAAGTAGAATTCTGCTGGTATGCTACTACGAATGCTGCGTGCTGATTGGCTGAGCTATTGTACACTACTGATATCAACTACCGAGTGGGCATGGGCTTGACTGCGTCTACAAAATGGCGACGTTTTCTCGTTTCTCCGAAGTTTCCAGTGAAGATGTAGAAATACTACTGGATACTTCAATTCCAACCGCTCACCACCCTCACCGTTAAGCGAGTTAAAAACGCGGAAACTGTTGAATGAGCCAATGAGCGCACTTATACAACAGAAAGTGCAAATAACACGCGATTTCCGGCTCACGCTAAAGCGTGAAGTGTCTTGATACCAATTTGTTTTGGTATTTCGGAGGTGGTCGAAGTTCACCCGAAGTCCTTCGAAGATAGCCGAAGGTGATTTGACGCTTGACCGAAAATCACTCTAATCCTTCCGAAGTTCACGTATAACCCGAACATCCTCAATCATCTCCGACAGTCACTCGAACTCTTCCGAAGATTGCCGAGGATTGCTGAAGCTCACCCGAAGCTTGCCGAAGACAAGAAGACACGTTGTTGAAAGTTTTCGCGAATAAGTTTGGAAATTTGGAATATCAAGTACACAGCTGCAGCCTACCTAAGGAAACAACGTGTAGACAAAGACCTTAAATAGTAAGTTTTTAATAGGAATAATCACCACACAGGAACTAGTAACTATATCAATGAGATAGCTCACAATTCATGAGAATCTGAAAGTTGAAGCCCGTGGAAAGAATAAAGATTAATTTCGGGAAGATTTGTCCGGATCATGTATCTGTTGAAAAGAACAAAGATGGTTGTCTTTTTAAATCAAAATTCGTGAGTAATCCGTATTTCAAAACTCGGGCAACTCCTCAACCTTCTGCCCTGCGATTTTTATGTGGAAACAAGGATAACCACCCTGGAATCAATCAGAATATTGCTTTTTATCAGCGCATGTCACTGGAGGCACAATGGCATCACGATTCGCACGCTCGACTCTGGATCGAGCGGTCTGGGTTCGAGCTCTGGCCGGGGACACTCAACTCTCACAGTGCCTGTCTACAGCCAGGTGTCTAAATGGGTACTGGCAAATGTAATGCTGGGGGGTAACCCTGCATTGACCTAACATCCCATCCAGGGGTGAGTAGAAATACTCCTAGTTACTTAGAGTTACAGAAACCGGAATAAGCTCTGACTGTATGAGCCACTGGCCTGGCGAAGATCGACTTTATGCATTCACATGCATCCAGCGACGTACATTATTAATCCTTCCGGTGGTAGGTCATCACCAAAACCAATTGCGTCTCTTTCAACTTCTCCAACCTCATTGTCATTTAACACTCTGAAATATAAAGGGGACATCACATGAACAACAGTGGCAACTTTGGAGTTTTCATTTGCCTCAGTTTTAAACCGAGTCCAGATGGTAAACCACACAAAAGAAAATGTGTAGTGTCTGATTGAATGGAAGTGAGAATGTGACTATGTCTGCAAAAAGGTTTTGCCCCGATATTTGTTTAGAAAGAGCGGGAAACATTACCAGGAACTTTTTTACTGTCAGGTTTTCACCCTGCATTTCAAAGAAAATGCTAAGAGCATCTACTAAAGAGATTTTCATAAATCTTAGGCGCGGCTAACTCGGGATTTGAGGCGACAAAAAAAATACAAATAGTAGCTAGAATTCGTAATTAAATAAAAATTGAGTACTTTCGAGAGAGGATTGGAGAGGTAATCCCCTCTATATACATATATGGGCGTTATTCTCAAGGTAATCCTTCTGAGGATATTTTTAGATACGGTATGCATTTCTCTCGCGGAAAATGCTGCCACGCGCTCGTTGCGTGGACGACTACAGATCATATCTTGGAATACTTGGGTACATTTCGCCCGTTCTTTTTATTCCACTTAAGTAGTTGAGCAAAAAATAATACTAAATATACTACCAGGCCTTGAATATGAATATATTTAATGTTGTGGTTGCTACTCACAAGATTTCAAGTTTCTGGCGATTGTGTACGAAGGCAAATGAAGGAATAATACCTATGTAGTTGTTACTAAGTAATCTAAAATGAATAACATAAAACGAGATTACTCATTAAACATTAAACATTAGTTAACGTATCTCTCATTTAATGGTCAAATTTCAGCTACATAAAGAGCTCGAACAATTTTCATGGACGTCATAGATGGTGAACTCGAAAACGGCGATTTAAACTTGTTGGCAAGTTTCAGTTCTTCGTCTCTCACAGAAACAAAAGAGTAGGACTGGGTCGAGATGCCCCAGGGCTCGTTCTTTGGTCATGCGCAGTGCCACGGACGAGGCAGACATCTTATCGTTCAATCTTCGTTTGTCTTCTTACCATCTTGGGCTTTAAGCTAATATTTTAGAACTGATTTTTAGATCAGTTTCTAATGACCTTAAAAGTTCATTAGAAACCAATTAATTTGTAAAAAAAATCAAAAACTTACAGGTATTTCAGATTCCTGGCACTGCTAAATGTGTAGTTTGTTATAACTTGAATCCGATTGTGCTGCAAAAATCTACAAATTTAATTTAATTTTCTCGTCTAGTTCCACTTGAAACACTATTTGAAATGGTGACACTTGAAGCACCATTTCAAAACAACATACAGTACATTTTGCATTGCAACCACTCGGACGCCAGTAAGTTTGGACATGTTCAAAATGATTTCTCTTGGGGTGGACTATTCCACACCGTAAGGAAATCCGCCCCTTCCCTCCCCTCCCTTATTCATGGCCGAAGCTTGAAGATAAGTCACAGGACCAAACATTTTCGCCCGCTCCCTTCCTTACTAGGGCATGTAAGGACTCACTTTCCCCCTCTCTCCTGGAGAAAGAAGAAAGACAAACCTCCAAAGAACTGATTTTAAAAGAAGTACGTCCTGTTCAAAGAAAGTCAAAAACTTGCTATTTGCAAGTATATGTTTTTTCCTGATACTTACAGATATTCCAGTTTCTCCACACAGCAAAACAAAGTGTCGGTTAAGTTGTCGATTTGGTTATACGAAAGATCTCTATAAAATTTGAAGATAAATATGAGTTGAAGTTTTGAAGCTCCTGATTTGTTTTAAAAGGACAGATAAGTAATGGCAGGTGATTTAGGAAGTTTTATAAGCTATCGGCGCAACTGGAACATCAAAGACTTCCTTGTAATTTTTACTTCCTCGCACGGCGCAACTGACAACCAATTTCTGTGACGTGGACCTGCTGTTAAATTATATCTTCACTACCATTTTATTTCATTGTCTTTAACGTCATCGCCATCGTTATCGTCATCATCATGGTTACGTCGTCGTCATCGTCATTGTTTCGTCATCGTCGTGGTTATCGTTATCGTTATCATCGTTGTCATCGTTATCGTTATCATCGTTATCGTTATCGTTATCATCGTTATCATTATCAGCGTTACCGTTATCATCGTTATCGTTATCGTCATTATCATCGTCATCGTTATCAACGTTATCGTTATCATTGTTATCATTATCAGCGTTACCGTTATCATCGTTATCGTTATCATCGTTATCATTATCAGCCTTACCGTTATCATCGTTATCGTTATCATCACTTTCATCGTTATCGTTATCATCGTTATCGTTATCATCGTTATCGTTATCATCGTTATCATCGTGATCATCGTTATCGTTATCAGCGTTATCATCGTTATCGTTATCATTGTTATCGTTATCAGCGTTACCGTTATCATCGTTATTGTCAACATCGTTATGGTTATCAACGTCATCGTTATCGTTATCAGCGATATTCTTACCGTTATCTCCGTCGCTATTGTTTTTAAAAGTGAGTTTTAAAACTTTTGAATGCAACGGTAGCTCACTTTAACTGGAAATGTAACCTACAGGTATTCCACATTTGTTAGGTTCATGAACAAGTTAGGGTGTGGCTTTTTCATCTTGTTATGAGACAGCGACCTAAAAGGAAGGTAGAACGGTATTAGTAACGTGAATTTCTCCTTATACCAATGCATTGTCAAGTAAAAAGTTGATGAGGATAAAGAATATAGTCCATTAGGGGATGTGGTCTTGATATACCAGCAAATTCTCGTAACATTTACTACAGAAAAGTGATATTTTGAATTTAGGAGAATTTGGAAAGGAAGTATAGCTCTGAAACTTTAAGATTTGCTGATCCTTTGGAAATAGGTTGTTCTTTAAATTTCTTTGATGATCAAAGAAAAAACATCACGGGTGACATAAGATAGAATATTCACCCAAAGCTTTACACAGTAAAGGCCTGGCGAAACGGAGGAAGCTGGTTGAAACAGGTTTAAGTTTGCGTCCTCTTTCGCTTCCATTTCATCAGGACTTGCTTGCTTTTGTGTTGACGTGCGATGACTTGCGTTTTCTGTCAGGGCAATATTTTCACCTCTTGGCGGGCCAACAGGCAGAACAATTGGACAGGTAGTAAAAAGCTACGAGGATAATTTAGGGTTGAGACAGATTACAGTGTCTTTCCTACGTGCGGCTCGAAAGAAAGACACCGTAATCTGTCTCAACCTTAAATATCTTCGTAGCTTCTTGCTACCTGTCCACTTTGCTGTTTTCTCCCTACAAAACTATTATTACTTTAAGAGTTTTCTTCTGTTGCAATATATGGAAAACAATGATATCAACATTTATATTTGTAAACCTAACGGACTAACGTAACTTTCGAGAGCCACTATAAAGATGTGTACATACAGGTAAGTTAAATCTGAAAGAGCGGAAAAGACATCAGCATGGATGTCTTCGATATTGTTTGAGCTCAGATTTCTGCAAAAGAAAAGAGAAAATGGTGCCAAAATATAAACAATAATTGCTTAACAGAAAAGTCCTAGAATAACCTAGAACAATTTTCGAGAGTGCTGGTATAATCTAACTGAGAAAAAGGATGGATGCTTGGAAGGAACATTGGCGGCAGACAACTTTTAAACCCAAGGCCCTAAATATAATTGATCAAGAGATGGTTAAAACAAGTTAACATACATACTGTGAATTTCATGAAGAAATTAAAAGAGAGATTGAAATGTAGGAACTATGGTTGTGGAACAAAAATGGTTCTTCAGCAGACATATTGTCTTGAGGAGGAAACATATTTACAAATGGCTGCCACTGTTTTTCTCAGTATTAGAATGGAGAGGAGAAGTCCTTGTTTCGATTTGCTAATTTGTGAAGGCGGCAATTTTAAAGGGTAATTTTAAACTAGCAATAGAAATTTCAGTGGAAGCGTTTATTTCGTCGTAATATGCAAGCCTGACCAAACGTGTGAAAGTATTTTTTTCCCTTCAGGAAAGTCTTTGAATTTCGGTTTACTCACAGGCTATTTAGCTGTGGTACACTTGAAAATAACTTCACGGGTATCTCTGAGATATCGTTCAAAGACAAATCCCTGAGCGTGGATAAAATAACAGAGAAATTTAAATCTCAGCACGACATTTTACATTTATTACTTACATCTTGCAAGAAATTAATTTATGCAGAAGTCATTAAGTTAATTTCTAATTAATTACAATATCATACTAATTCTAATTAAAATATACCATGAGTTGTTAGCATATGCAATAGAATAAATTCGAGGAAAGAAGTGTTACTCTTCCTCTTGCAATGTTTCAAGCGGATTAGTGAGGATTATTAGTCAATTCTCGGAACTTATAATAAAGAAATATAGGAAAATCAGTGAGGAGATTTTGGAGGTTGAGCTTAATACCAACACTTAAAGAAGTGAAGTTAGCAGATTGTATAGCTTACAAGCCATTTCAGTGGCAGATCTAAGGGAGGGGCCTGGGGGCCCAGGCCTCTTCCGCCCCCTTCTTTTGGATGAAAAAAGGAGAAATCACAGAAGGAAGAAAAGCCGACAGGGCAAGCAAAACAAAACCGCCCCCCCCCCNTCTGGATCCGTCACTGATTTTCATGAGCTGAACAAGAGTGTAAAAATGAGTTCACTAATAGATCGTTTTAAAACAAATCTTCACTGTCATCCGCTTTTGCAACTAAGCCCAGCATTCTTTTAAATGCGTAAGCCTTGATGTAGCAGAATATTTAAGATAAGTAACCATCTGTAAGGGAATTCTAAGCAGCTTTCCTTTACAATTAGTTCAACTCACAACTGTTGCAATTTTTTCAGGTGAGAAAACAAATCCTTGTGAAGGTTTTGAATGTTGCTTGATACCAAAAACCTGGCAAAAATTAACAGTAACATTCAGAAACGTTGTGAAAATGTATAGGTTCCTTACAGAAATATGTATTGCTGGACAGACGACAGACAGACAGACAGGCACGCAGAAATCAGGAAAGACAGACAGATAAATGGACACAAGATAATTGACTTATACACTGAACGCCTAATTCCCTTTTCGAGACGCGCCCGCGGGGAATCATGGTATTACCATGATTCCCGGTCAGAAATGTCAGAAAAATGTCAGAAATTTTCAAAGACTTACAAATGTTTTACATTACTGAATCTCCAGAACATGTCAACAGGAAGATTGTCCAAGTTACTTCTGGTCAGGTACCTGCATGCGAAAGAGAGTTTCTTAAACCCCAAAAGAGAGCATTTCTTAAATCGAAGAGCAACAAAGCTCATCTTTTAGTTCTTAGGAACAATATTGCGTCCTCTATTAAGCCTCACAGGCGAATGGAAGAGGGATATTATTCGAAAATTTCTTACGGGGAATTTTCGTTTCATTTGATTTTCCTCCTGAATTTCCGGGATTTCCGTTAAATGGTTTTCATTTCGGAAATTTTACAGTTTTCGGATTTTGCGGAACCTTTTCAAGGAAATTTCCGTACTATTTGTCTGTATTTCGAAAGTTCCGGAATTGAATTTTCGGTTGAATGGAAAGCACCCTTGATGTCAGCCAGGAGCCATAATCGGGGACGGAGACCGTAAGCGCGCGCCATTTCTAACATTGGGGTTGCCCCAGGGGCGGGGCAGAAGACTCCTGAAATTTTTGTACTGGATCATCCAACAAAAAGTGACGTCACATCNAAATAGAAAAATTGTCCCATATCATAGGTGCGCGCGAATCCCGAGACTTGCGGTCTCCGTCCCCGATTATGGCTCCTGTGTCAGCTTAATGATCAAACAATTTTAATTGTTAAAACTTGTTAGTAATTCACATTGTCATATTTAGAAAGTTTTCAAAACCCAGTCACCACGCGTTAGAATAAGCGCCTAAAATGTTTTGTGCACAAAGTCTTTCCACATAACCCATCTATTTTTTGAAATGTAAAGGTTCATCTCATAACTAAAAAAGCTTTTTGAACGAAAATAATTCCCGGAACAAGCCATTTAGAGGCCATATTTAGGGGTTTTTGTAACACGGGATATTAAGGTAAAAAACTAACGGGATGCAGAATAATTGGGGGGGAAATTAATGGATGTGGGAAATCTAGATCAGATAAAATGAGATATCGAGTAGGAAAATCGTTAAGTTTTGCAATTGAAATTAACGAGATAAGGGATATTTCAGCCAAAAATTAACGGGATGTGGAATAATAAGACCACGCCCCCCTCCCCCCTTCCTCCTCGGCCCCTCACCTGATGGAGCCTCCATGTGATGATAAATCTCATTGTGAACATTCAGGGAGGTAGCTAGAATTTTTCAAAGGGGGGATCACACTGTGTCGAAGTGATGGTACTCACCAAATGTACTCACCACCTGTTGTAGGTTGTTTGCTCACAAAAGGCTTACAAAATGGGGGGTCATGGGCACGCCAGGACCTCCCTAGCTACGCTCTTGGCATTTAATACTAGAACAAAAATTCTTACAAGACATCAACAATTGTTGGAGCGCAGTTCATGATGACTCGAGGTAATTTCACACCACTGCATGACAAAGTATTTCCCCATTGAGAATAATCATCAGAATACCACTCTCCGTCGCCTTGGGAACATTGTGGTCCACAATCTGTACCAGTAGAAAAAATTAAAATGTCTGATATAAAATTATTCTTTAACCTTTGTACGACACGTCGTAAATTCTGCAGCATGCCCTGTGAGTGAATGATCTGCTTGAAACAACGATCTCAAAATTTCTCTTGTAATCTTTACCAATAGAAACAAACCTGGTTAATAAATAAATAGATTAGTTAACTAGTTTATCACTTAATTTAATATTATTTTCTTTATTTTATTTATTTTAATCTATTTATTCATTACTATAATAGAGAAAAATAGTTATGACGCAAGTCAAACTTCAAAGATTCAAATAGAGATGCCAGACTGTGCACAATCTTTTGTTTTCCACTCATACACTATGCGTGAATTATGAAACCAAAACTGTTCTTATGGTTACTGGCTCACCTATTCAGTAATCTGAGCAATGTCAACACCAAAAACCAAACAAAAACTATAGCAAAGAACTTTGTTGGGCTTCATAGTCATTCTACTCTATTAACTATGTTTAAGTATCCATTCTTACCAGCGAATTTGACTGAGAACTCTTTCTTGTCCTTCCCAAACTGGTTCTTTGCCTCGCAAACGTACTTTCCTTCTTTGTTTAGGTGGATAGTTAAGACATCTGACGCACTGGCCATCACGCTGGAGTTCCACATCGCTTTTGTTTGTATGGGCGGGCTGCCAGTTGCTGAACATGACATTTTGTAACCTTTTAACACCCGCACCGTAGAAAATGGTACCATAACCTTGGCTGGAACTATATTGAAAAAAAAAACAGTTTAGAAACTATGAAACTGAACGATAAATTTTGTTTAAACAAATGTTCATTTCCTGGTAATATCCCCGTTGGATACTGAGCATAAGGATTACTTTTGACTATCAAAGGACGCTTTTCCATTCAACCAAAAAGTGCAGTTTATTTCCGGAAATTTCCAGTGGCGAATGGAACAGCATTTTCTGGAATTTCCGGGAAAGAGGACAACCCTGCGAGGTAAACCGAAATTTTGGGAAATTTCTTGCCTGGAATTTGCGTTCCATTTGGCTCTCCTCCAGGAATTCTGGGAATTTCCGGCTAAATGGTTCGCTTTTCGAAAAGTCGACAGTTTTCGAATTTTCTGGAAAATTTCCTTACCATTCGTCCGCGTTTCGAAAATTTCGGAATTTTTGGTTGAGTACGAAGCGCCCATGTAGCCTTATGCTCCACTCACAGGAGCGAAGAAGATGTGAGTGAGTGAAAAAGCACCCGTAAACTTAAAGTAATAACGTTATTTATTTAAACTTGATTTCCGTAGTTCCAAGTAACAGGTTTATTCTCACAGTCTTGACCATTCATACTCCCAACCTCATTTTTCGTTGTTCCAAAACAGTTAATGCATTTTTCGAGTTTTGTTTGCCGCAAAAGCATCATTATTAATTACCGTAGAAGAAGTTTCTCTCACCATTTGCAGCAAGGCCTCTGTCCCTTTTATCCCACGTAAATATACATAGAACGACAAGCAGCATTTTCACGGTAGAGAAGTGTTCTGCCGGCATGATCATAGAACTGCTGCACCTCCACTTAAGAACAGTTCTGCAGAAAGATAAATACGATTACCTATCAAAAAACACACCTGTCATCATTTACTACTTATGATCGCTCAATGTCTTAAGACTGATCAAGACCAGGAGCTATAAAATTTCATTGCAAAAACCAACATTCCCAAATTCCAATTCGATCAGGATTATTGTCAAGCACTTTATCAAGCAAGCACTCCCTGTGTTTGACATTAAATTTGCATTTCCATTTTTTTTTTTTTTTTTTTATATTGGTATACGGGGCTCCAAAAAAAAAAATCGTCGTCCGGTCTTCCGGGACGAGTACTTGCCCAATGGGCAAGGAATCAGGCAAGTCGTCTCCCATCTTAAGCAATAAAACAGCAAATTAAGATTTTCCCAGGGCAAGCAAAATTTGAGAGCCACTTGTCCCAAGGGCAAGCTGGATTTCAAATTTTTTTCGAGTCCTGCTATTGTCTGGAAGCTTCCCGGCTCCAACTGAATAGTCCCTTGTGACAAAGTCTGTCACTTTTCCCAATGGAAGGGTAGATTCGACAACCACTGCTGACACCAGGTTTCATTTCGTCGGTCATAGAAACAACACACGACACTACTCAGACACACAAAGCCTCTTGTATTCATCCTTTACGATTTTAAGAGGTTTGCCTTCAAACAACGCCTGCTGTTACATACAGCATTGGGCGACTGATTGCTCCTTGGTCTCCAGGGAGACTCCCATTTGAAAAGGTCAGGAATGCTGATCAAAAAATTTGAATTAATTCCTGAAGAGGACCAATCTTGTCGTGGCTCTAGTTTTATTTGATCCCTAAAAGATACGACTTTAGAACGGACATGGTAGGGTATTTTTTTATTATTTTTTAGAGTGCAACCCTAAAAGATACCTTGATGGCTGAAAAGCAGTGGCGTTTTGTCCTCAATACCCTAAGTGAGACCAAAATCCTTGATTTATACCCTAACGGAGACGAAGAGTATCCCCGACCTCTTCACATGGGAGCTCCCCGCTGGGACTTGGTTATGACATGAATCTTGACAAATTGCTCGCTTCAAGTCAAGTCATCTTTGGAAACATTGCTGATGCAGGTGATTGAAACACTGCCGATGCTCGCTTCATGCAGATTTATGCAAATCACACACTACAGATTCGAACTTCACGGTTTTATATCTGCCAGATAACCAACGAGAATTGTTCCTCTACTCACACACCATACAGCTGCTGTGCCGGGTTATTGAAATTTCGTGAAGTTGGAATTTTAAATTCAACGGCAAAAGCATCCCGGGCAATGCCTTATTTAAAGATATTTTCTTAACAATGTTTACCAATTTCCACGAAAGCTATTTTACAAAGGATGTTATAACATATCGTTTTGCGCGAAAACGTTGTGGTTGTTCTGGAAAAGGACGGGCGCATCAGCAATGTTCCCAAGTCCTTTTTGTTTTGTTTGCTATCATTCGATGTCTCTTCACTATAGGCCTCGTCCACGCTATGCAAGAGAAATTTGAAAAGGCAGCTTTATTTCTACGGTTAGGCGTACCGTCCACACTAATCCGTTCCGAAAACGGAGCCTTTCGAAAACATTCTTCAAACCGGAGGAATTTATAAACGCCGGCTTTCCGCTTTCGTGTGGACGAAAAACATTTCGAAAACAGAGCTTTTTGAAAATGATCACGTGACGATAATCAAGTGATTTTCCTGCCCGAGTTTACTTCAAACACAAATCAAAAACGACCGGTGATTCTTGCGGCGTTTTTAAATTTCTCTAGCGTAGTGTGGACGGAAAACGTTTGATGCGTTTCCAGAGTGAAACCTCCGTTTTCAAATTCCTCCGGCGCAGTGTGGGCGAGGTTTTAGACTACGTTTTGTCGCAAAACGTTAGTACCAAATATACGATTCTTTCAACCGAAGCCCTTTTATTTTTCGTGCGACAGCAGAAATAAACCGAACGGCGAATACATTTAATTTATCTTTAGTTAAGTGACGCGCTGAACATCTGTTACCAGTGAAATAAGAAGTCAACGGGAAGCTATCCTATCGCTGAATTATCGTCTGGATTATGAAAAAATGAATATAAAAAAAGAGTTGTGAGAAAAAAAGACTTGGAGCCGAAGACATAGGTTCGGAACGTCAGGAAAGCGAAATTTGCGGCTTTCATTTTTACCTCAGTTAATCGTAAGTTCCAAAAAATGAATCGTGATAATTCCTTCTTTCTCGCTAATTTTAACGCAATAAGTATAAAATGTGCAAACTTCTGTCTTCACTTTCGGTTTAAGAAATCATTTCTGTCGACTTGTTGGCAACGATTTCTACTCAGCAACGTCAACGGCACCATCTAGCTATTTCTGCCAAATCTTTCAAGTTTAAGAAGTAGCTTGGATTTCTCTTCTAGGATGTAAAAAGTAATCTTGAGTTGCAAACAAGTCGGCTGTTGTCATTTTGTGTGAGTTAAAGACCATTGCTTGGACAATAAACAATTTTTACCCAATCAGGTCAAGAGTTTGCCGAGGGTAAGTTATAATTTTGTTCCATATGTTTCTAAATAGTCCAAAGGGAGCATTAATTTTGCCGCTACTTGCAAATGAATAGAAAAAACCTCTGTAGATCGTAAAAATTCCTGAGAGTTTCTGCCTGTTGAACCGAGAAAAAAAGAAGAACCAACAGTTTTAAAAAAGCGAGGAAACCAATTCAGCTTTTCTTAACTTAAGCGATAGATTTTGTCCTTTGTCTTCTGTCTGCAATTAAACTGAACAATTTACCGACTCCCGCAGATGTGAAACTATGAATAATACCTAAATAGGTCTGCATGAGTGCATTCTAAATGACCGTTTTAACGATTTTTTTAACGTTTGAATCCATTATTTTGTGTCGTGAGAAGCCGTTTGCAACGAATTAAAATTGCTTTATGTCAGAATAAAAAAACAGCTGTAAACATCAGGTTACGAACATTCAAAATTCGAGAAAAAAAAATGTAGGTTTTCAAAAATGTGTTTCTTTTGCTAAAAACTGCTCGCTTTCGTCTACTTAATTTTGAAGACCAGATATAAACGTATCATTAATTTCAAGATCAAGTCAACTATTGACAAAATTTCACAACAGCACAGTACTTTCTTAGATTTAGTGTGCCAATATTTTGTCTTCGATTCATTTTCATTCTCTGCAAAACACAACTTGTGAATTGTAGTCGCGGAATATTTTTGTTGGACTGAAATTATTAGCAAACAATCTCTTTTCCTCTCTTTTTACATTTAACCGAAAAGCAGAAAAATAATTGTTGATCATTTTGTCGTGAAAAAAGAGTGCAGAAGTAGAACAAACTTCCTTACCTCAGATTCTTCACCACTCGTTTTTCGAAGCTTCACGAAGAGACAAACTTGTGATTCGTTTCTGGACCATGTGACTTTTAGCTAACCAATGAAATGTCAATATTTTTGACATGCATCAATCAAATAAACCTTTTGCTTAGAGGGTATTTCTTCAATTTCTTGATTTCTCCAAACGACCCGTTGCCCCAAAAATTAATTTAGAAATCTCTTACTGAGCATTTTATGAGTAATCTAGTCAGCCCCCTCTGTCACCAGGCCGAATTTAACAGCAAATTTGAAAAGACAGCCGGACACTTTTTTGCATGCCTTTCGTCCTCAGCTTTTATTGTTTGAATCAACTTAAGCTGGGATTTTTGAGCCTACTATGTTTGCTTAAAATATTTGTTTCTTTCGGTTTAAGTGGCATGCCTTTGAACTATCTAAGTGTAGCTAGCCGCATTTACCACTATAAAGATACAACATTCAACAACAATATTTTCAATGCATAAGCAAAGTCAAACACCTTGAGGCCACTCTCTACATTATTTAACAAAGAGCTTTGAAAATACGCGAAATACGCGTTCTGGTTCATGCTATGGTTACAGAAGACTGACTCAAGTTTTCTTCCATTTTCGGAGTACCATTAGACGGTTTAATGCATTCTCGTCCCCAGAGCCCATGATCCTGGCCTGCGGCAGTGACCGAGAGCTCTGGCCGGACCCGATTTTCTGAGCATGCGCAGAGTATTCGGTTCGTATTCTCAGCCAATCAGATTTGCCAGATTTGACGGAAAGTCCGTGAATCGCGGACTTCCGTTGTTGGACCAGCCCAGAGCTTTCGATCCCTGCCGCAGGCCAGAAGAATCGTGGGCTCTGGAGACGAGAATGGGTTTAATGTGGTTAACTCTGCCCCAGTTTATGTCCACTTGCTTATTTACGCATGCGCTGTAACACGTTTTCCAACTTTATCAACTGGTTATGAAAAACATCTGCCATCGTGAAAAATGTTGACGTCACAAGTGGAGCCCTGACTCGTTTGGTAGTCAAAGAGTTTTAAGGACATTTCTATATTTGGGGCTATTACGACATCTCCGGTAGGCGCATGCGCTTGGGACTAGAAATAGTGTCTAATTAGGAGAGGTATTTGCCCGGGGTATTTGCTTGCGAAGGGTGAATGTAACCTGGTCCATCACTAAGGCCCCATCCACACAATACGCTGGAGAAATTTGAAAACGCAGCTTTATTTCTACGGTTAGGCCTACCTACCTTTTCGAAAACGCTATTCAAACCAGGGGAATTTGAAAACGCCAGCTTTGTGTTTTAGCGTGGACGGAAGATATTTTGAAAATGGAGTTTTTCGAAAACGATGACGCGACAATCTTCTTATTTCCCTGTCCATGTTTTCCTCAAACACAAATCCAAAATGATCGGTAATTGTTGCGGTAATTTCTCCACTGTCGTATGCACGGAAAAACATTTGCTGTATTTTCAGAGTGAAACCTCCGTTTTCAAATTTCTCCGACGTAGTGTGGACGGTAATCATTTAATTTGATGCGTTTTCAGAGTAAAACCTCCGTTTTCAAATTCTTGCGGCATTGTTTGGACGGTGCCTGAGTCTCCATTTTTGAAAAGTGCTCGTTTGCGGAGGTTCAACCGGCTGTACTCAAGATTCCTCATCGAAATCTGAAGAACAGAGTTCAACTAATGAATAAGGACAACTGACTTGATGAAATATTAAGAAAAACAGATTTTATTTCATGTGACTTTGTAACTAATTCATGACACGAGACTTTCAAAAATTTGCATTGAGCAAACTTCGTGTTACAATGTTTTTAACATTGAATTTGCTGTGAGAACATCTAGAACTTAATTTATATGTGCCGTGATTT